TTAAGAAGGAACGAATGAAAGAAAAAAAAAGAATGAAATTACATACGGAAAATGACTAGGTGTTAATATATAAATACCAAAGAAAGAAAACCAGAGAAATATTTTATGTGTTAAGGAAGAAGGAAAGAGAGAAAAAAAATAAGGAAAGGGAGAAAGAGACAACTAAAGCATGGAATTGAAGAATGAAAATATATATGGAAAAATAACGTCGTATTAATATAGATATTTCTATATTAATAGAAAGAAAACGTGTGAACAATGATATGTTTTAAGAAACAAATAAATAAAGAAAAAAAGAAACAAAATAGATACTAAATGATGAAGGAAATATATATAAGGAAAATAAATAAAGTGGAAATATAGAAATAGCAAAGAAAGAAAACCAATGGACAAGTTTATATGTTTGGAATGAAATGAAGGAAGAAAGATAGGCGCAGGAAGACAAAAAAAGAAAAAAATGAAAGAAAGATAGATAATGAAAGATGAATAAAGAAAAAAAGAAAGATACAGCAAGAAAAAGAAAGATTGTTACATATATATATATAAAGAATGAAAAGCAGAAAGAAAGAAAGAAAAATAGATACAGAAATATAAAGAATGAAAAATAGAAAGAAAGATAGATACATAAAGATAAAGAAATGAAAAAAAAGGAAAGAATTAGAGAATGAAAAATATACATGAAAAAAAAACTACTTGCAAATATAGAAATAGCAAAGAAAAAAAACAGTGAATAATTATAGCTGTTTAGAAAGAAAAAAGTAAACGCAACAAAGAAAGTATGTATAGATAGGAAATATTTTACATAAAACATTAAATGTATAAAGAAAATATAAAAATAATAATAATAAAAGAAACGAAAACAAATGTCTAAATTAGTACAAAGATAAATCATCAGATAAGAAACAAAAGGAAAAAAAAAGATTATAAGTAAGTCAATACAAGGCGATGTTAAAAAGTTCACCTCTTAAGAAATGACAAAACATCAGCTATTATTTTTTGATTTTGAAATCGTTTCTTTTTCTAATGTACCGCACCCATTTGTAGATGAACATTAGAAAGAAAACTGTCAGATATCAAAGAAGTTCAAGACATTAATCATCATTTCTTATGTTTATACTGAAAAAAAGACATGTCTTCAAATATTATATTCTTTTGAAAATATCTAAAAAATAACAATGATTAATTCAAATATCATGAAAGCCATCACTGTCTAAGTAAATGATCTCGAGGTGAAAATCATAGATTAATTAAAACATTATAATATATATATATATATATATATATATATATATATATATATATATATATATATATAAATATATATACTAAAAAAAAAAACTCAAAGTGGAAAAACATTGTTTAACCTCACTGAACTAAAATTGTGTTTATGTTGATGCGATCGACAACACATGCGCATGCGCATGAAAGAGAGCGAAATCTGAGAATTTTAAATATAGAATTTATATATATTTTAAATATATGTTTAAGGTATAGAGTCTAGCCGAGATTCAGGCACGCCAGACAATGCTTGTTTCCACTTCGTAAGTAAATTCTATCATTTGTTTGACTTTGTTTAGTTTATTGGCAAGTTCCTGCAAATTAATTTCGCGGGGATATATTAATAGACCGTCATCAGACTATAGCAAGTATGTTCATGTTTTTGGTAAAATGTCTTGGAAAGGACCAGATTTACAAAATATATATCATGTTGCACCACAGTAGCATTGGCCTGGAACTGTGTGCCCATCGCGAATCAATTAATAAAAATGAACTCATTATGTGATATCTTAATAAAAAAAATAAAATAAATACCCGAAAAATCATCAGCTTCGAGTTAAGAGCACTCCGAATTTGCAGCATTCAGTACTGAGATTATTTGCATGCTCTACAATACCCTTAACAATGTTATATTCAATACGTAAAAATAGTTAGAAAAACTATTTCAAAATACTGACCTTTCGAATCAAAATATATTCTTCTACCTACCAAATCTATGACAACTTCATTTGAAAATAATTAACCTGAGCTTAGAATTAAAGTTTTTAACATTACTTCTTAAACAATAAAAAAAAAACTTAACTAATATAAGACAAAATACGAAGCTAAACATTGAATTAGAAATTTATTCAATCACTTGTAATATCTGTGACAACAAATACGTAGGCGAAACCTCAAGAAATTGAATAAAAGTGACAATTAAACAAAAAAAAAAAAACTACATCAATTAGTTGCTCAACATAATGATCGTGTTCATAATTTTTACTTCAATAAATGCTGATCTAATTAAAAGAAAACGTAATTTAATAAGAAGAAAATGTAGAGAAAGAGCTTAAATCACAGGGAATTTACGTCCAGGTTTTTACAGTTTGTCAGATCGTCAATTATCGCAATGTGAGATATTTAATTTTAAAGATGATGGTAATATGAACAGAAAATGATAAAATAAATGAAATCAGCAAGACGCTATATACGAAATACATATTCAAAAAAAAAATCGAAGTGCCCATTCTCCTTTAGTGCGCAGGTATAGTCGAATCAACTTAAATATCAATTTAGTCCGATGAATTTCTAAATAATGAAACATTTGTCACTAAAACATTTTCTACTTTGTCAAATTTTTTTTTGATAAAATTTGCATACCGTTTTCACACACACACAAACACACACACAAACACACACACACACAAAACACACACACACACACATAAGATTTAAGAAACGGCAGATATTTATATACATAGTGAAAAATAATAAAAATTATTAAAATATTAAAAATTGAGCGTTATTAATGAATTTAATTATATGAAAAGATTAATTAACTTTTAAATTAAGTTTTCTTGTTAAAATTACAAGTCTTCAGTGTTTGTGGTTCTAAGCGGTATTATTTTTTCTAACTTGAAATGCATATATATATATATATATATATATATATATATATATATATATATAGGTTGGTAAATAAAACAATGGAAAAAAAAGGGTACCAATGTAATCAGTGCGAAAATAATTTATTAAATATTAATTATTAACCACAAGACAGAAATGAAGCAAGAAGATTAATGTCATTAGTCCGGAATTTTCGGGCACGCCTGTGTCCTTTACCAGCGGTGAGAGAAATAAACAGAGGGATGGGGAAGACTCACCAACACAGGTTCTTGTGGCTGGTGTTAATTCTTTTTAAATGGTATTATTACTAAAAATCCGATCTTTGCTTGATACTCGCGTGCAAAACTTTTTTGAAATTGAGCATGTAATATATATATATATATATATATATATATATATATATTCGCATACATACACACATAATATATATATATATATATATATATATATATATATATATATATATATATATAGTATAATATGACAAGTGGAGAAAATGTTAAATTTTGCTGACGCGTTTCGTCTTCCGACATTTTCAAGGCAAAAATGAAATCGTAATGTTTTTGTTGTTATAGTTACATTAAAAAATCCAAAAAAAAAAAAAAAAGGTGGACGCTTCTGTCCAAGCCTTTTTTCTAATTAATGTAAATTACATTTATAGTAATGGATTTTTTCCATGTCGACAATATCTAGGAATTTAAATATATATATATATATATATATATATATATATATATATATATATATATATATATATATTTTGAATAAAAGACAGACCACGTTAAGATTCCATGTAATAAGCTATTTCACCATAACACCTTTAACAGGGTTCTGGATCATCAGACTTTACTTCCAAAAGCTGAAATGAAAAGTGAAAAGAAATTCACAAGTTTTTTACGGACCTCATCAAGTCTACGTATAGTTAACGAAGTGAGGGAGTTAGGTGGGAGAGAGGATATGAGTGTGTCATATGTATCATTTTAGTTTCCTATTTTAACCCCAGTGTGTCGGCTAGATGTTGCTCAAATTTAACGCGTCTCGTCTCTAGATATAGATGGCTAAGGGGTGAATGATAAGAACGACATTAAAGGAAGAATTTACAACAACCCGACAATAAATTACACGACAGGTTTCATTCAAATTCTTAGACGCTGTCAGTTCGCGTTACTTTAATGTGCATATTTGGGAGGTTAAGTTTTGATAAATATCTAAATGTTAAAACAATCTACGAAGAAATTAATTTGAAATTCGGTGGAGGTTTGGGTATTTTCTATGAAACAATCGATTGGAAAAATCCATAGATAGAACATTGAAAGAGCAATCCATTTTATATTTAGTAATTTTTAAATTAAATAGACACAGTGAACTAGTTTTTAAATGCCGGCACAAAACAACCTAAACCTAAGCAAGTACATTGAAAAATAATCATGTAAAAAACGTGTGAATTTCTTTTCACTTTTCATTTCAGCTTTTGGAAGTAAAGTCTGATGATCCAGAACCCTGTTAAAGGGGTTATGGTGAAATAGCTTATTACATGGAATCTTAACGTGGTCTGTCTTTTATTCAAACATATCTGCTCTGAATTTCACATTGAGCTCTCTGGATATCAACCTCCTCAGGTCTGCCCATACGGATTACCTAAGTTTACATAAACTATATATACTAAAAATAAAGACTGAAAAATAAAATTGACAAAGATTATTGTTTAAGGTTGATGGACACGCATGTCTTAATTAGTTTTTTTTGGTTTTCTTTTGTTTTGTTTTTTTACGAATTGGTCAAACCCAAACTCAAACAAAAACATTGTTTTCAATCGTTATGAGTCTACCGATTGAATAGAATTTTATTATAAACAATTGTCTTGTAAATGGAATTTTTAAAGCCTTCTGAATGTACAAAATAAAGAAAAAAGTGTGCAAGACAATAATTGCCAAAAAAAGTGAAGTTTTGTTGAAATCGGTTGAAAAATATAGGAAATCCGATCCCATATATAAACAAACACACACACACACACACACACACACACAACCTGGGTTTTATAGTAAGTATAACTTGATATGAGTTGTCCCCCTTTAATTCTCACGATGCCTCTTAATCGTGTTTTCAAAATGATTTCGTGCAAAAACAATTGTCTTTTTCCAATTTTTGGCGCTGTCAGAACCACCGCAAGTTAATTTTACGTAGTCCTGTGAAGTTTTGTTGAAATCGGTTGAAAATGTAGGAAATCCGATCCAATATATAAACGTACAGACACACACACACACACACAACACAGTACAATATATATATATATATATATATATATATATATATATATATATATATATATATATATATATATATATATATATGCTTAGATCGTTCATAGTGTACCATGCGAATAAGAGAGCCGATTCTTCTCCGTTTCGACAAGGAATATGTCAGTCTGAGAGACCGTTTGGTGCATGTGTGCTTGAAGTAACCATTTACTGTTGATTTTTTATTGCTTTTAGACACATATAACATTATTTTTACATAGGTAAGCAATTGAGGTATTGTTGGTTATAAATAAATTTGATGTTTTATGCTTTTTATAATGGATGATAAATCTTAGGAGTTTGTTAGGATCGCTGTAGAATATTTGTCGCTGAATTATGTTTTTAATTGATTTTTCATATTTGTTATAATTAGGGCGCGTCTGTGGGCAATACAATAAGTTAATGGCGTGCTTATATCAGTTTGTGTCAGGGTGGGGTCTTATTTTTTTCTAAATTTCGTTAAGGCTAATTTGATATGTTTTTCGACAATGTGGTTACAGAGGTTGATGATTAGATTTTGCTTCATGTTGCTAAGTTTCTTATGGCATAATAATATCCAAAAAAGAGATTAATTTGACCCGGTAAGCAAATTTTTCCTTTGTTTATATATAACAACTATTTTGTACCT